TTAAATCCTCTATTTTTCTGTTCAGGAGCTGTCGTCCTCCGCTCAACGGGAAGAAGGTACAACGGCGTGATTTTGCAATGCTTTCTTCTAAATTTATACCAATGAGGGCACCCACTTCTGCCATCTGGGTTTCTAGTCAGAGCGTTCTTCCTTTACACAGAATTGTCTTAAAAGGCAGAAGTGAAATTGTAATAAACAGACGAAACGGAAAACACAGAAATGACAAGTATCACTTACTATGTCGGAATAAGACATTTACCAGGAAGTCAAATCGCTACAGCGTTTCGCTGCAGCTGCATCGATTGTAACTGTGGAACGCAAAACTCTGAGGTCTCGCCTGCGAGCCACTAGTTTCTTGTCAATCAGTTCAAGTCGTTTATTTTTCAAAGTTTCCCTCTGGACTTCTCCATGTCCACTATCGCTTTAGAACTCACTGACAAACGTTGTTTTTGACGTGAGATAGTTGCTTTTAGCACAAGTTACGAAACGGTTTCTCGTCACTTCTTTCGCCTTTTCAGCGTTTGCCGAAAACTACAGCCGCGTCGTGCGTTCTTTCCCTGACCACTGCATTGAAACCTGCTTCGACAATCAGCCACATAATCTTCTTCTCCATCGCACTTTCAGTTCATCGCAGAATTGCTTGATCTCTTGGTTTGGCTGCAAGCTTTGATTATCTTTGTAGTTGTACTTTTGTCCATATGTCGAAATAGAAGAGCTAAACAAGGCTATGTAATAATAAACTCAGTACAAATAGCAGAGCCCTTCTTCCTCGCTTATTATGAACCCAACACCGATGGTCTAAGCTCGATTCTTGAAGTCTTTTCAGAGGAACACCTGTTCACCATTATTCTATTGCGCAAAAGATCAGTAGATCTTAGGGTCTCACGCATTCCAGCGACGTACACTTTGTCCGTATTCTTTTCGGTAATAGAGACGTTTGCAAATGCGTCTTTCAGTAGCCTTCTTGCATTAAGTCTGGCCATAGTTCTTGATAACGTTTTGAGTTTGTCTATCAATTGTTTCCGTTGGAGTACTTAGGCATAGGTGTTGCTCAGACTGACGTAGTAACCTGAATTCATTTTTCAGGTTTCCGTTTATCTGTGAAGAGTAACTATTTTGCAATTCATGCTAGTTGTAAACACTCATGAAACTATCACTAACGTCTCCTCATTTCGCCACCTTCATCAACCCAACGTATTGAGCGAAATGGATCACTTTATGAGGTTTCGGTCGCGGAAAGCACCACCACTTCGATCTACCGGAGCGGACTCCAGCCCTACTTCTAGGCTCCCACGCAGCAAGAGCATCATCACATTACAGTGAGAGGAAAGCAGCAATACGAATGAAACTATTTACAAAACTGTGAATGAGACAGCTATAGCAGATACAATGCCTGAAAGAACAAGATTTGCTTTGGATCGTTCAATGATAACCCAACATAAGCAAATAATATATGGGACCTGTTCGGTACATCGCTAGACAGGCAGAAAGAAATGAACCGACAGAAGCTGCAACAGATATTGGTATGAAGGGCACTTGCCTATTGATACACCAGAAATGAATCCATTGTTTGTAAAGACAACATGAACACATATATAGTCGGTTGCAACAAATGAGCTAGATAGCAACCATGTACCATTCAGTGAACAATTTCAAGTGACGAAAACTCAGTGCATCGACTGTTTACCACTGCTTTGTATCTATGAGTCAAATTTGCTACTGCCTCATAAACTTTGTATTGCCGTTGTACTAAAAGATGTCCTAATCTACGTAGAGTCAATGAGCTTCCTTTGCTTCTTGCTAATTGGATTAATGCATCTTGCTTAGATTTGGCAACTCATCATATGCCTTAAATTTTGCCTAATTAAATATTACTGATTGATTTTAGCATCATAGCAGCGTAACTCATTCATGCTCATGTGAAACTGTAAGAAACAACTGAATTCGAAAATATACAATACTTTGTATGAGGCAACATATTGTTCCTTGCAAATGACGCTGCGCTGACGCACCTCACTGAGCAGCATTACTGACCAATAAACACTTCAATGTGCTTGAATCGAAAGGTCTTTGACAGTTTCGCGCTTCCAATTCTAAGGTATGTATGCGAAAATTTGCTTATTAACTGCGTACGGTACATACAGCGTGGAAATGTTCACGTTGCAAATGTCGTGAAGATATTCGAAAACGTACTAATGACAAAGGCAAAAGCAGAAATTTGCAATATCATCGAAAAACCGAAGAAATTAAAATGGAAAGAACTGCCGTTTGATTGAATAGATATTAGATTGGAATCACAGAGACAGTAAATGGCACGTTGGGAAGTCTCCAGATTCATGGCAGGATCAGCTGAGAAAATGTTTTGAAGGAAATAAATGAGAATTGCAGAAGATGAAATTTTGCGAAAAAATCATGATAAGGGCTTCATGCAGCGGTGGATCGAGAAACGAGGATGATTATGTCAAGCTCAAATATGATTATAGGCGTATAGAGTAGATATTCCTACAAGTGTGCAATGTAGCACCTAGTGTGCTTGCTTACGGAATGAGGTAGTTAATCATAAAAAATCAGACTACGGATTTTCATCTGGAATGACGAGTCATATTCTTTACAAAGTGATCGATGTTTAATAACGTCATCTTCCCTAACAGCCAAGAAAGTTTTCCGGATCGTCAAATGAAATGGTATATAATGAGAGTTTCAATAAGATTACCAATCATGAACGTTTTTCAATTGATTTCCTAAGTTCTTTTCAAGTTTGTGTTTTCTACTGCTCCTTTCTCAATAAAATAATGAATGTTGCCATTTGTCACTGTCACTTCAGCGCAGCTGCTCGACATTCTCAGTCTCATTCTTTGTTTAAACGATGACAAAGGTATATTAACTGAAACTCCCTCAGTTATAATAAAGACCTTACAGTCTGTCAATTCTATGCTTAAATCCATTTAAACCTACTATTTAGATGTGTTAAATTGCCATTGCCGTTGTTTTCACTTACGAAAACTGTGGTCAATGGCATTGAATCTCTGATTACCGTAAATTTTTCATATACTTCAGATGATGCTCGCATAACCCATTGCGATACCGCGCAACAGCCGAGGGAATGTGTTGTCTTTAAAATGAATCTTATTCCTGACCTTCAACCAGTCTAACAACGATTCTTCGATTCTTACAGCACATTTCGTTTATTCAAACAAAACTTATTTTTTAAGTCGCACTATTGCATCTAGGATTCGGTAGCGCAGATTATTAACCTCATGAAGTTACATTGAAATGAATTAAAACTAATCAAACTCTCGTATTGCATTTCAGGCTTCGTAGCCCAGCTAAGCCCAGTAAAGAAATACAGACTTCAGTCAGTATCTTGCGGTAAATGCGGGTCATTTACCGAATCGCTAAATCTTGGGCCTTGGACTTGGTCACGCTAATGCTTTGGTTCGATCTTTTTCATGATTCCGGAGGCTCGATAAGATTCAAAGAGTTTTGGTCAGGATCAGCTGTTTTCGGCGTGTAGCTTCTATCATTTAAGGTGTAGCATCTATTATTATTTGAACGAATAAATAGTTTACTGTTTAAATAGAATCGCCATTGAATCTGTTTTTCAGTAACTGGAAGAAAATACATGAGAATTATACACATTTCACGAGACAAAACAGAGAACTGTACCGCACTTGGGGCTAACGAAAAAAGAAAATAAAATTATGAAGCTACGAAGCAAAGACACGCAAGAAAAAGAATCTGTCACATGAAGCAAATTCAAGTATTGTTGTTTAACCGGGACTTCATAAAATGCAGAAAATTGCCATCCTGCATTACAACCGTGTGTGCCTCGGCATGCTGCATTATACGAAATACAAATGGCGCAATTCCCTTGAAATTTTTAGCGGGAAATGTTGCTGCGGATCCGGCACAAAGGTCAATGGAGCAGTTACTGGAGTGTGGAAACCTACAGATCGAGGGCTGATCACATGAGAATACTGTTTTACAAACAGTGAGTAAACGCTTAACGGCGAGAAAAGCGCGAACGCGTATACTTGAATGAAAGAACTTTGTACAAATATGGTAAAGAATATTTTAAGCTGAGCTATTAAGGTGGGGCATCCACAACGTAAAGTACAAAGCAGGATACACGAAAGTCGAAGGAACGAATGAGTGATAAACCGTCTGTTGACAATCCGAACGAACGCCATCGTTTATGATGTTAATTGTTATGATATAACTTGGATATTGTTATGTTTATTTTCACTTATTATTTTAGTCTGAGTATACGCTTTATTTACGAGAAAGGCAGGATATTGTGTGAGCAGTAAGCTTCAACTTTCAAACTGAGCTTATTTCTTACGAACATGAAAATCGTCTCTTAATTACAGTTTGCTGTTGTGCCCTGTTTCGAAATTTCAATCTTGCCTACGTTTAGCTACTGCATGAGGTGTTAAATTCATATGTGTTGAAAAATTGCTTAGAAATTTTTATATATTTACGCTGATATACTTTAGCTATTTCTCGTTGCTCTTGGCAATTCGTAAACCCTGACTTT